CAAATGCGCTTTACACAATTGATGTGTGTATGGATTGGGATAACAGTTGTATGAGCCCCTAATAAAATGTTAAAAAAAAAAAAAAGAATATGGCTCACATGGTTGTAGAAGTGGGCAAGTCCTGGCAGTTTCCAAGCCCATGAATTAGATGATAAACTGGCTAGGTGCAAGATTGGCAATAAGACCATAGGTTGATGTCGGCCGAGGTGGATGAACCCAAGCACTGCAGGTCAGATGGCAGCTAGCTCCCTGGGTTGGCAGGCAAGTGAGGTGATTCACTCAAGTCCAAAGAAATGGAGGTTGATGAATCAGATGCAGTATCCAGACCCAGCAGAAAGTAAACAAATTTTGCAAAGTGTGCACTTATTTATGAGGTTCTCTTCGCCCCTGAGGAAAAGTCCCTTTCACTGCATCAGGACTGTGGCCTCAGTAAGGACATTGCATTCTCTGTCATCTTAAAATTGGTTCCCTGATGTACTTGCTTCCATAGTATCATGTCTCAGCATGGAGGATGGTTTGTATCGTTACCTGCCATTACATGGATCGGGTTACCTAGATTGAGTTGGTTCAGATCCACAGAGACCGTATGTGCAACAGAAAGAAACACAGCCCGGTCCTGGGCCCTCCTCACAACTCTTCCTGTCCTCGAGCACTTTGCTGCCCCCACGGTGTCAGCCCACCCATTGAGGGCCTTCCTTTTTCACTGCGCCTCCACTTTCCCAACCATGATGCTTTTGTCCAGGAACTGGTCTCTCCTGACGGTATTTCCAAAGTATGTAGACAAAATCTCGCCAACCTTGCTTCTAAGGAGCCTCGAGGCCATACTTCTAAAACAGATCTGTTGGCTCTTTGGACAGCCCAAGGTACTTTCATTATTCTTCACCAGCACTATAATTCAAATGCATTGATTCTACTTTGGTCATTCTCATTCAATGTCCAACTGTCACATGCATGTGTGGCCATTGAAAATAGCACGACTTTCCTCAGAGGCATCTTGGTCCTCAAAGTAAAATCCATGCTTTCCCACACTTTAAAAGTCTTGTACAGAGAAATAATTAAATGCAACTTGTCATGTTATGTTTGGACTATTGCTTCCATGAGCATTGAATGTGAATCAAACTAAGACTAAATTGTTCACAACTTCAACCCTTTCTCCATTTATCATGATGTCACCAAGGGTCCACTTGTGAGGATTTTGGTCTTCTTTATGTTGTGTTGTAATCCATACTGAAGGCTGCAATCCCTCACCTTCATCAGGAAGTGCTTTGAGTCCTCCTCACTTTCAGCAAGCAGAGTTGTGTTATCACAGGTGGTTTTCTTTCTTTCTTTATATAGCCAGTTGTTAATAAACTTTCCTTCAATCCAGGTGCCACATTTTCATATAATCCAGCTTCTCAATGATTCTTTCAGCATACAGATTAAATAAGTATGGTGAGAAAAAACAATCAGGACATACACCTTTTCTGATCTTAACCCATGCGCCATTCTCTTCTTATGTGCTCACGACTCCATCTGGGCCCATGCACAAGTTCTGAATGAGTGCCCGGAAGAGTTCTGGAATTCCCATTCTTCTCACAGTAATCTAGAGTTTGTTGTGATCCACACAGTCAAATACCTTGGAATAGTCCATGAAACACAACTCAACATCTTTGTGGTATTCTCTACTTTGAGCTAAGGTCCATCTGACAGCAGCAATGATCTCTCTTGTTCCATTTCCTCTTTTGAATCCGACCTGAACCTCTGGCAGCTCCCTATCAATATATTGCTGTAAGCATTGTGAGATGATCTTCAGCAAAATTTTACTTGCATGTGATATCAATGATAGTGTTCTATAATTTGAACAGTTGGGTCACTTTTTTTTGGAAAGTGTATGAATATGATTTTTTCCCAGTAAGTTGGCCAAGTATCTGTTTTCCAAATTTCTTGGCATTTACAAGTTAAGTGCTTCCATTGTTTCAGCAGCTTGTTGAAACATGTCAACTGGTATTCCCTCAATTCCTGGAGCCTTGTTTTCTGACGAATGCTTTCAGTGCAGCTTGAACCTCTTCCTTCAGCACCCTGGTTCTTGCTCCGATGCTACTTCCTGAAATGGTGGAG